TATCTCAGGACTGTATGAAGCATAATTGAATAAATAATTGTACTTATAGTTACTTTGCATTTTATAGTTGATTATTTAAAAAATATTTTCTCCTGATACAGATTATTTTAACTACACTACCAGTGAATAAAGAGGAACTTTCTAATGAAGAAAGCATCCTGGGATAGAGAGATGGTTAAGTGGTTAAGAGCATTGGTTGCTCTTCCAGAGGACAGGAGTTCAGTTCCCAATACCCACATGGCAGCGCACAACTGACTATAACTCCAGTTCCAGGGGATCTTGATGGGCTTATTCAGGCCATCAAGCAGGCATATGATTGTGGCTGCTCCTTTGCTTCTATGATCTTTCAACTGTTACCTCAATATCTGACTCTGGGTTTTTATTGATGAGATAAATTAGTATCACACTTCATCTGCCACCCAACTTTTGGGGCATGAATTCACAAAAAAGCCACTTGCTTGTGGCTTTTGCAGACACTGGCACAGCCTAGAGTTACACACAGCTAGAGTCATTGCCCTGCCATCCAGGTTTTTTCCCCCAAGGCCTCTGAACAAGTCTGTGGTTTATCTGTTGCAGCCTCTCTGTAGGAAACTGCACAGGTGCTTGGGCTCCAAATGCTGCCAGAGTTAGCCTTGCACCACCGGCCAGTTTTGGCTCCATGTATTTCTTCCCCATGATGCCCTGTGTGTGTTATCCAGACAGCAGGTTTCCTCTTCAAGTAGGCTGTGGGTTCTCTCTGGACCCCTCCTGGGGCTGCTGCCAAACTAGGTAGCTGCCTTGGCACCCACTCACGCTTCTACTGTTCTAGCAGCAACAGTCAGCCTCACAATGTAGGTGGAGGCTGCTTGTTCGTTCCCTGGCTACACAGACTCAAATAATGACACAGAAACTTTATTAATTACAACACTGTTTGGGCAATGACTCTAGCATATTCCTAACTAGCTCTTACATCTTAATTTAGCTCATTTTTATCAATCTGTGTATTGCCACGAGGCTGTGGCCTGCTGGTAAGGTTCCGGCAGTAACATCTTTCTCCTTTGCAGCTACATGGTGTCTCCCTTACTCTGCCCACTCTCTCTCTTTATCTCTGTTCGGATATCCTGCCTGGGTTCACTTTGCAAACCATTGACCAAAACAGCTTTATTCATCAAACAATAAAGCAACACATATACAGAAGGACATCCCACATCATCTCCCCTTTCCTGTCTAATTAAAAAAGAAAGGCTTTAACTTTATCATAGTAAAATTAGATATACAAAACAGTTATTAAGCAAGGATTATAGTTATGATATTTCTTTGTGAGTCTAAAGTTTTATGTTTAATTTACCTTTTATCATAACTAAGGAAAACTGTAGTTTTAACTATTTGTCTTTAACTCCATCAAAGACTCCAGAAGGATATAATATAATATTACCTAAGTAAACATGAAGTGTATTGTAAGCAACTTCCAAAACCCTAGAATTGACAGAGACATCTCGCTGCCTAAAGCTCTTTTGTAATGTTAGGGCATTCATCTTCAGCCTATAGACCCATAATATCTGGCAGACTTTTCAGTGAAGCAGGGAATTTGAAGAACTGTTGATGGAGGAAGGTCATTGGCTAATAAAGGAACTGCCTTGGCCCATTTTATTGGTTAGAAGATAGGTGGGAGGAGAAAACAGGACAGAACGCTGGGAAGAAGAGGAAGTGAGGTCAGAGTCTCAACAGCTCTCCTCTAGGGAGCAGACGCCTGAGAGAGACACCATGCCCTGCTCCCGGGCAGACACACGCCATGAAGCAAGCCGCCAGGTTAGATATGCTAAACCTTTCCCGGTAAGACCGGTGCTCACAGATTATTAGAGATGGGTTGATCGGGATGTGAGAATTAGCCTGTAAGGGCTAGGGCTAAAGGGCCAAGCAGTGATTAAATGAATACAGTTTGTGTGTTGTTATTTCGGGCATAAGCTAGCCGTGCGGGCAGCTGGGGTACTGGGGACGCAGCCCCGCCGCCGCCCCTATTTACTACAAACTGTTATGCTTTGTACTGGCAAAGTTCATCAGTTGCTTTCTTCTGTGTCCTGCAGACTGTCTGGCAGTTTCTTCTGTGAAACAGGAAATCTGAAGGACCTTTTGGAAAGTTCCACAGCCACTTTTAAATGGGTCCTGTATGTCCAGTTCATACAGCAAACCATAAAACAGTCCAGGCAATAGCAGTTTCTTGCCCAAATAGCTACCAAACTCCATAAGAAGCCTCTTCAGTGCCCATCATGCTCTTGAAGTAACTGGTGCTTCCAGGAGAAGACATATCTCATTGTTGAGAAAAGTCTAAGTTCTTAAAACATTTTAAATAACATATTCTGTAGGTCTTTGAAAAGTGTTGAAGATTATCTATCAAACTGAAATATATCTCTGTATATCTAGAAAATCTAACTCACATGACTACAAATTTGACTATATAAATGACAGTCTATTAATATGTAATTTTAAATTATACATTACATTTGTTTGGTTTTCTTGAAATATGGTTTCTCTGTAGATTTGGAGCCCGTCCTGGAACTAGCTCTTATAGACCAGGCTGACCTCAAACTCACAGAGATCTACCTGCCTCTGCCTCCCGAGTGCTAAGATTAAAAGTATGTACCACCACTGCCTGGCTTATACATTACATTTTAAAATGAGCTGCACAAACACAATATCTTAAACAAGAGTTAAAATACATATACACGGTATAGTAAAATTGACCTTAAATCTGTATCAATAGACCAAGATCCATACCAATGCAAAGTATTCATCTCTATATCATATCCCCTCTTAAATAAAAACAAACAATTATAAACAACCATTTTGGGAATTTGAGCATTGTTTTCTCCAATGTTTGTTGGGGGATGTGTTTTTTAGGGTTCACAGAGACATTTCAAGAAGTCTTGTTCCATAAAACCACATTAGCCTTCTGAAGGAATCCACAGGTTCTCATATTCTGTGGAAACAAAAGCAGAATCTCTTTTCCAAAGCAACATATCCTTAGACTCAAATTTGAAGTCAAGATACCTTAAAATATATATGTTGGTTTAGCTTAGCAGCCCATAAAATGAAATGTCTCTCTGTAGTTAACTCATTCACAGTAAAAAATTCAAAGAAAACAGAGTAGTATATATAATTCAGACTGTCTGTGTATATTCCATTTTTATGTGCCTTATTTTTCCTACTCTATTACTTTTTCTACAAGTTTAATGTATATTTTATTATCTCTACTCCTTTAATCTATGACTGTACTCTTTTATAACAGTCTATACTCTTTTTGCTCTCTCTCAAGCCTACATACACTTTTTAAACCCATTGTGTCACCTTTAGAGGTTTATTTTTGTCAGAATCTATCATTATTGCATATCTGTAATCATTTTCTGGCCATTTGAACCTTTTTTTAAATGCTAAGCATGTGTGACTAGGACCAACTCCGTGGCCCTGCCTGTTTGCTTCACCCTATCCAACATGCCAGAGGCATGTTCATCACCTCTGCGAGTCATGTTCACCACCCCAACTCCAGGGACACAGCATGTCTATGCTGACATTAAGCAATTAGTAGCAATCTGCTCACAAACCCCATTTAAGTGCAGGACCTCCCAAAAGAGCCAGAGTTTGTGCTACCAGCACCAACCAGGAAGCCACAACTTATTAAAGAATATGCACAATTTTTTTTTTTTTTGGTTTTTCGAGACAGGGTTTCTCTGTGGTTTTGGAGCCTGTCCTGGAACTAGCTCTTGTAGACCAGGCTGGTCTCGAACTCCCAGAGATCCGCCTGCCTCTGCCTCCCGAGTGCTGGGATTAAAGGCGTGCGCCACCACCGCCCGGCCAATATGCACAATTTTTGTGGCTAATGTTGAGTCAGGAAGACATTCGTTTTTCTTTTTTTCTTTTCCTTTTTTTTTTAGTTGAGGTAAACATGTTTTTTAATCCAACCTTAATTAATATTAATGCCCAGTTCACACATTCCACATCCTGCAGTAAATCTATGTATCCAGATAGATAGATAGATAGACAGACAGACAGACAGATAGACACATAGATAGATACATAGATAGATGCTTTTGTATGTAGGCTGCAGAATATCTTCTTTTTTGGTAATTTTTCCTTTTTTTCTTTAGTAAAAATTTCCACCTCCTTCACTCCTCTCATTTTCCTCCCCTTCCCCCCACTCCCCCTCCTCCTCCCTCTCCAGTCCTAAGAGAAGTCAAGGTACCCTGCCCTGTGGGAGGTCCAAGGCCCTCCCCCCTCCATCCAGGTCTAGGAAGATGTGCATCCAAACAGACTAGGCTACCAAAAAGCCAGTACATGCAGTAGAATCAAAACCCAGTGCCATTATCATTGGCTTCTCAGTCAGCCCCCATTATCAGCCACATTCAGAGAGTCCAGATTGATCACATGCTTGTTCAGTCCCAGTCCAGCTGGCCTTGGTGAGCTCCCATTATATCAGTCACACTGTCTCAGTGGGTGGACACACCCCTCGTGGTCCTGACTTCCTTGCTCATCTTCTCCCTCCTTCTGCTCTTCATCTGGACCTTGGGAGCTCAGTCCAGTGTTCCAATGTGGGTCTTTGTATCTATTTCCATCCATTGCCGGATGAAGGTTCTATGGTGATATTCAAGATATTCATCAGTGTGGCAATGGGATAAGGTCAGTTCAGGCACCCTCTCCTCTGCTGCACAAGGACCTAGCTGGGGACATCCCTATGGACACCTGGGATCCCCTCTAGAGCCAAGTCTCTTGCCAACCCTAAAATGGCTCCCTTAATTAAGATATCCTCTTCCCTGCTCCCATATCCACCCTTCCTTCATTTCAACCATCCCACTCCCCCAAGCCCTCCCCAATTCTTCCCTTCTCCCTTCTCTTTCCCCCTCTCCCCTTCCCCCACCCCACTTCTGACTGTTGCCTGGCTATCTTGTCTATTTCTAATTTCCAAGAGGATAAATATGTGTTTTTCTTTGGGTCCACCTTATTATTTAGCTTCTCTAGGATCACAAACTATATCCTCAATGCCATTTGTTTATGGCTAGAATCCACTAATGAGTGAGTACATACCATATTCATCTTTTTGGGTCTGGGTTATCTTACTCAGTAAAGTGTTTTCTATTTCCATCCATTTGCATGCAAAATTCAAGATGTCATTGTTTTTTAATGCTGAGTAGAATTCTAATGTGTATGTTGCCACACCTTCTTTATTCATTCTTCTATTGAGGGGCACCTAGGTTGTTTCCAGGTTCTGGGTATTACAAATAGTGCTGCTATGAGCATAGTTGAACAAATGCTTTTGTAGTATGATTGGGCATTTCTTCTGTATATTCTCAAGAGTGGAATTGCTGGATCCTGAGGTAGGTTGACTCCCAGTTTCCTGAGAAACCACCACACTGATTTCCAAAATGGTTGCACAAGTTTGCATTCCCACCAGCAATGGATGAGGGTACCCCTTCCTCCACATCCTCTCCAGCAAAGGCTATCATTAGTGTTTTTTATTTTAGCCATTCTGACAGGTGTAAGACAGGTATACCACACAATCCTACAGGAGAAATAGGTATAGAAAGGTCTATGCTTCATAAATAGAAAGAGGTAATAAAGACCATAATAGATAGATTTAATAATGCTTTATTAGTTTTAAATTTTCTAAATGCTAATGAGAAAGAAAGGACAGCTATGGAGACACGTTGGATAATGGAAAAAACTACTGAATTGAATCAGCCTATATACTTTGATGATGTGTTGACCTCAAATAGAAACCAGGATATGTGTTACATCGGGGAAGAGGTTTTGCTTTTGTTTCTACAGTAGAAGAAATGCTGGGGATTCCCTCAAAATTGATAAAGATGAGATTTGAACAAGAGAGACCTTTGATTAGAAGAGTTCATCAGCCAGTGTGACCATTCAATTTAAACTAACTCATTAGACTAACAAATGCTTTTCATCTGGTTGGCTAAAACTTGCCAAAAGGGAAATTCCCCAAAGTTGGGGTTGGAGCAGGGATTTGGATTTGTTTTTCCAGGAGAATGAAGGCATCCAATTAAAGAATCTGAAGACCACTGGACAAATGACACATTCAGAGTAATAAAACAAATCATCCAGAAAAAAATAACCCAAGACAAAGAGTAAATTGGCCCATATGTGTATCACATTTCCAACAGGACAGCATTTATAAATCATCCCAAATGCTTGTTTCTGCTGTTCTGTACAGACATATAATATAAATGGTCTTTTTGTACTTCTAGTTCAATTAAAAATTAAGCCTGACTTTAGAATGGGTCAGTGGGTCTCCTCTTCTCTAAACGCAAGTGTGCTTGTTAAAGGACAATCCCAAATCTCTGTTTCATGTCAGAAGATTTACCTAATATGAAACAGAAGAAAAACCAAAATTAAAGGACTATTCTATTGCCGCTAGTCTCATAATCCTTTGCTTTTATTTTTACTCTTTAATACTTTTTTAATGTATAAATATTATCTAAAACGAATAAGGTTCAATATGTATTTTTAACTTTTGGTCATGATATTAATGGTCTTCTAGAATACTAATTCTAGACAAAGGCTTCCTCTAGATTCCTGTACAAGATTTCAGGTTGGAGTCTCTAACATGTAGCTAAGAATTAAGTTTTTATACTCTGGGTGAACATAATAAATTATTGTCCTTGAACCTCTAAGAGATCTGCTGCATGTGACATTAGAATGTTCAAGTTCTGCAGTCACCCATGACCATGCCCATCAGTGACATTCGAAGTCAGAAGCCATCCAAAAAGATGATAAGGCCCCACAACGATGATTACACCTGGATTATCATAATATTACTAAGCTGACAAACACTCAAAGATTGGTTAAGAACTCCAAACTGCTCAGGACATTTTCCAGGTGGCTAGCTGAGTTGGTTCAGCCTTACAGACTACTCTAGCCAGGACTTGAAATAAGCCCTGCATTTTCCCATTACAAAGAGACTGAACAACAAATGATAAACTAGTTCTCCCAAGACATGACAATTATCCCAGTTTTATTAAGAGTCCCCAAAATATGCCATCACCCCCAGACAACAGGAAGTAATTTTAAGAATATGACACCCACATTCCTAACAGGTGCAGTGGGTGAGTTTTGGTTGTTCACTAGGTTATGGATATTTGTCATCATTTAGGGGGATCAGTTACAAGTTGTTATTGGTAATGGTCAGGAGAATTCTGAACAAAGGAGATTGGATTCAGAAATCTTATTCTACAAAGAAATGAGAGGGGATGTAGAAATAGGTTAAAAGTATAGATTATTGTATCTACTTTTAAATCAAAAATTGTAACTTCTACTTTTAAATATTTTACATTTGGTTTGAATTTTTGTATATTGATTTGTATATATATATATTTGAGTTCATTTTTCTTATACTATATGTATGTTTCTACTCTTAAGATATGTTTTTAGCTTCTATCGCCACTCCCACAGAATGTTCCTACAAAATGCAAGTCAGAAGGACATCATTGAGCAGCTGCAAACCACGCAGGCCATTCAGGACATTCTGTCAAACTTCCAACTTCGTGCATCCCTGGACAATAAGTACGTGGTCTATCTCCAGGAAGATAGCTACAACTACCTTATCCACTACCTCCAAAGCGATAACAACACTTCCCTATGCAAGGTGCTTGCTGTGCACACTCACCTGGACGTGCAGCCTGCCAAGAGGACAGACTACCAGCTGTATGCCAGTGGTGGCTCCTCGCGCAGTGAGAGCAGCAGCCTGGAACCACCAGATGTGCCCAACCCTACTCTGCAGAATGAGGCTGCCCTGGAAGACTTGCAGGAAAGTATCAAGCGAGTCAAGGATGGACCTCCTTCCCTCACCACCATCTGCTTCTATGACTTCTATAACACAGAGCAGCTGCTGAATACGGCAGAGATCTCCTCTGATAACAAACTTCTGGCTGCTGGATTTGATAATTCCTGCATAAAGCTCTGGAGCTTGCGGTCCAAAAAGCTGAAATCAGAGCCCAACCTTGTGGACACATCTCATATCCGGCTAGCCTGTGACACTTTGGAGGAGGGGGAGAATGAGGAAGACAGTACAGGCATACAGATGAAGATCCTGTGAGGACACTGTGGCCCAGTATACAGCACACGGTTCCTCACAGACAACTCGGGGCAGCTCTCTTGTTCTGAAGATATATCCGTCAGGTACTGGTACCTGGTGAGCTTCACCAACACTGCTCTATCAGAAACATGCCTACCCTGTGTGGGACGTGGACATCAGCCCCTGTAGCCTGTATTTGGCAGTGGGTCCCATGACCTTATCATCAGGCTGTGATCCTTTGATCGGACGTACCCACTGAGGATATATTCAGGACACCTGACTGACGTGGACTGTGTCAAATTCCATCCCAACTCAAACTACTACAGGTTCCACTGACAAAACTGTCTGGCTGTGAAGTGCCCACCAGGGGAACTCAGTGCAGCTCTTCACAGGTGACCGAGGTCCCGTGCTCTCCCTTTCCTTCTCTCCCAACGGTAAGTACTTGGCATCCACTGGTGAGGACCAGCGGTTAAAGCTGTGGGACTTGACCTCTGGAACACTATTTTTTAAAGAACTGAGAGGCCACACAGACAGTATCACCAGTCTGGCCTTTAGCACAGACAGTGGCCTGGTTGCCTCTGCCTCCATGAACAACTTTGTGCATGTGTCTGAAACATCAGAAGCACATCCTGCAATATGCCTGCTAATGGCTCTTCAGGTGAACTTGTGGGCGTGTACCTTGAACAGATGAGCATCATCCCGAGTGTACAGTTCATGGCCTGCGATGACTGGAATCACACAAGAGAATCAAGAACATTAAGTTTTTATTCAGGCAGCAGACTGGGTGGGGCTGGGACTGGTCACAGTCCAGGACTTGCTAAAACTGAACCAGTGATTTCAAAAGAGCCCTCCCCTACCCTACACTTACCCAACACAGTCCTGGTGCAGAAGACTCCAGGTGAGAGCTGGACGCTCGGCTTGAGGCCTCCTGGCTGTGTGCAGGCGCCTTGCTTAGCGTCTGTCTCTCCCATTGGGGTTACTGGAGCAGTTGCAGAACTCCCCTGTAGCAGCTGTAGACAGTGGCTCCTGTGGCTTCTCAAGGAAAATGGGGCCAGGAGCTAGGAAAGGAAGGGATGATCTCACAGCCTTCATTTCCATAATGATAGAACCAAGACTTTTATTATTTATTATTATTATTATCATCATCATCATCATCATTGAGAAGAGGAAACCTAGCACTGGCAGAGGTGTCTCTGCTTGTATCTGCAGGTTTAACTCCTGGCACTGGCTGTGATACTTGGAATGTTGAGGTTCAGGGAACTCAGGCTTTGGTAGCCTCGTGTATCAGGAAAAGGGGGCAGCATATAATGTGCTTCTGCAAGCAGGCAGACAGCTGAGCTGAACATGGGCTCCTGCACTGGAGGGAGGGAAGACTCTTTTATTGCCTGCACTTCTGTCAGGACTTCTCTACCCTAGAGAGAAGTGCTGTAGTGGGCAGAGTGTGGACCTCAGCACTTGAATTGGTTGTCCAAGGTTCCATCCTTAGTTAGCATCATGAACAAAATTATGATAAAGAGTAATTTTGAATAGGCCACCGGATAGACTTCAGAATACTGATGACTGTTTATTCTGGGATGTGACTTTCTGATGTCTTTCTTCCTCTGATCTGCTTCCACCCTCACTGCAGTTCCAGTGCAGTGAACAGGAGCGAATCATGAGTGCACACTCACAAGTATTAAACATGCTCTAAGGACAGAGGACGTTCTGATGGTGTGGACAGGATTAAATATTTCTTTTTCCTGAAAAGAGTTATTTTGTATTATGTTTTCTATTAAAATGTATTTAGTTTCAAAAATATTTTTCTATATTAATACAAATTTAAAGTTACTTTTCTTAGAAAAGACTGTATGTATGTTTCTACTGCTATTCATGGAATAGTACTTATATAGCTCATTTAACAATGTAAATTTCTAGTTCTTAAAAGTTATTACCACAAGCTAGATAGGATAATATAAAAATGCATTTTAATTGTCAGTCTGCTACTACAACAAATTTGGAGTCATGTTAGGTGTGGTATCAAGGTCAAGCAAAATATATTTTAGACAGACAAGCAGTCTGCAAACAGTTGAGAGATCTACAGAATATGGCATTTAAAATGTTTTAATAATATATGGTTGTTTTGTTTTGTTTTTAAGACAACGAAACATGTCTCTTTTGTCAGCACCAATCTACTTCAGAGAAGATGGTTAGCAACAATGAAACTCCACATCGTGTTTACTTTTTTGTGGCAAAGCTAGCCACTGGGCAAGATACTGCCCTTTCCTCAACTGCTGCCAGTATACTGTCCAAATTGAACAAGCAGGAAACAAAAGAAAATGACAACTGAACTTTGCCAAGATAAAGTGGGGCAGTCCTTCAAAAATCCTGCTTTACAGAAAGGTGTGTCAGATATACTAGACCTGTAGGCAAGAGTTGGAAGCACCAAGGTTGCAGAGAAACCTTGGGGGACTGTCCAGGCAGCCAGCTGTTTCTGTCATTTCTTAGTTTTGGAAGTTCTTTGCTCTGCCCTTCCTGTTTACTCAGGTAATTTATATCTTTCTCAGGTCTCTCAGGGAGTTGAAGCCTGCACAGTTATTCTTACAGTTTTCATTGTTACCAAACTCAGAAAAAAATTCTCACAAAAGATGTGTAAAATGTGTGAGGTTCAGAGACATAAAATGATGCTTTTGGATTGGTAATACAAGTTAGGATAGAAAGTATATTAGGTACAACACTTTAGCCTCACCAAGACAGGGTAGATAATGGAGTATTTTCTCTGAATTTGTCAAATGCTAATGGACTAGACATTGTTACTATAATTACTGCCTGTTTATATTTATTTATTGTTATTGTACTAACTGCATGTAATTTTTCTATGTTACTTAAAACCTTTATTACTAAGACAAAAAGGAGTAAATATTGTGTGATGTTTTGCTTCTGTTCTGACAAATAAAGCTTGCTTGGAGTCAGAGGTTAGAGCTAGCCACTAGTTAACCATAGGGGTCTGGAGGTCTGTACTGAAAGGAAATGGGAAGTGAACAGGTTGGGCAGAGACAGGATCTCCGCCTTTTTGTTTGAAGGAATGGAAGAGATAGGAAGTCACTGACAGTGCTACTTTGCTTCTCTGACCTTTCAGTTTTATACCCTGACATCTGACTTGTGGTTTTTATTTATAAGATTAATTCGGTTTGTGCTTTAATTAGGTATGTACTACCTGTTAGTAGATATAGAAGGCTGAGGTTGAAGCTAGGAACAAGGTAAAAACTCCCACTAGTACTGTGCACAAAAAACAGGTCTAATATAGAATGGCATCCATGGTTCCATGGCCTAAGTACACAGGATGCCTTTGGGTTGAGCCACAAGGTTGTTGTGGCATGGGAGATGAAAGAAATGGGAAAGAGTTGATGTTTCTTGAAGGGGGTGTGAACTCATATTCCCAGAACGGAGAGAAAACAAGAAAGTCTGGATTTGTGTAGGCACAGAAAAAGAGATTGGGATTGTAGGCAAGTCAAGGATTGGGATGTAACCTTTATATTAGACCCACTGCTTAGATGGCATTAATCTGCTCAGGTAGCTTACTAGATGTGGGTGACGGGATGACCAATGAGAGAAGGAAGCATAGGCAGCTGTGCACCAGCTTCATGTTCTCCTGTGACATAAACAAGCACACAGTGGGATAGGTAGCTGATTTTCAGTCTTTGGAAGACTGAGAGTAGAGCATCTATGTAAGGCCACTGTTTTCTCTCACATCAAGGTGGAGCAGTGCGACCTTGAGGATATGGCCATGGACTTTTCCTGAGAAGAATGGAAGCTTCTGGATGAGCACAGAGACTTCTGCACCATGATGCAATGCTGGATAACTTTGCCTTGCAGCCAGACTGAGTCAGTTCCTTCCATTTCCTCTACCCTCCCCCGCATGAACATTCCTGCTTTCTCAGGAGCTACTCTGCTTCTCATGGTCATCTATAGATCCTACTTCCTTCTTGTTTGTCTTGCATAGGTGCTGTGGTGGGGAAATGGGCTGAGTACTTGCTTATCTCATTTGACTCCTCTGCCTAGGACCCAGGAACCTGTCAGGGAATGATACATGATAGGACTCTTTCAAAATGCCAGAGATCCAACCAGGCAGTTTTTTCCTTCATTCTGGCAGAACCACTGACTGAAACTGTTCCTCCTGCCCGCATCTGCCACTCCCCCACCTGCTGACATTTTTGTCTTACCTGATTTGGGAGACCAATGGGCTCTCCCTCATCTTCTCTCTCTCCAGTACATGCTAGGCAAGTGTTCTCTGCTGAGCTGCATCCCCAGCCCCGAAAGATGCCTTCTCATAGCTGGTTTCCTGTCTAATGCTCTGTAGGAGTAGGGTCACCCTGTGCTGCTACTGTTTGCTTTACCTTCATTATCTTCTTAATAGGACCTGTGCCTTCCAGGATTCATGTACTTGTCCAGCTGGAGGAACAAGCCTGGGTGACTGAAGGGGAAGATGTGACCCCAGATCTAGCAAGACAGCCCTGGAGGAGGGCTAGCTCTGGAAAGAGAAGAGTGAGGGACATTGTATGTCAGGGCTGGCTTGTGATTGGTACCAGGAATCTCCCCCCTGCATTAGTGTTTCTCACCAAGGACAGGAACCATGACTCATTCCATTCATTCAGCACCCATTCCTTATTTTGTGTTGATGTGCAAGGCCAGCTCTGGCTTTTGGCTTGGTGTGAACCAAACCTCTCAGGTCAATTCCTTTCATGGCTCCATCTGCAGTGTTTCTCTCACAATGAACTACCTACTCAGTGTGGTATGGATGCCTATGTAGTCTGTGGGCCTGTTCTGGGTTGCCATTTCATTTCCTGGGTGTGATGGACCCTAGCATCTCATCAGTGCTCACACCCTCACCAACAGAAAAGCCTTGCTGAAAGCCATCTGCAGAGACGTGAGTCAGAGGCTGCCTGTCCTTCCAGAAACTTTAATCACAGAGCTTTTGTCTTTAGTCATTAATACAGAACTTTTCTCACAGAACTTTTGCCATTATCTATTAAAGAGTATCATGTACAGATTCTTAGATTTGTTAGACATGCATTTTTAGTGGGGCCATTTTTTCCAATGAAATTTTCATTTCCTTCGATATTTTTTATTTTCAGGTTTCTGGTTTCGAGTGGAAACTGAGGAGGCATATTTTCGAAGAGGATCCAAAGTCAAGGTTACCACAGCTGATTCAATCATCCAAAAAAAACTAACCTTGTGGGATGTGTGGCATAGTCATGAAACATCTTGTTCTGCAGGCTGAACAGCAGGGTTACATTCCCAACACAGACTGCATACGTGTGGGACATGTGGAAGGCAATTCTCCTTCAGGGTAAAAACCTCCCAACACCAACACAGTGGAAGGAAAGGTCTCAGTGATGACAGGGACGAGGATCCCTTTGTTAAGAACCACACAGTCTGCAGTGCAGAAATCCCTTAGCTATGTGAAGAGAGTAGGGGAAAACTCAGGCCTTCTCCAGCATGAGATCAGAAGGAGCTTACCTGTACACTATGGATGCTGGGGGCCCTCTCAGTGGAGGTGGACATTGCAGATGCAGTGAATGTAAGAACCATTCAGCCAGAAAAATGGGCTTCCCGAGCACCAGAGTATCCAGACTACAGAACGGCCCTATAAGTGCCCTGAATGTGAGAAACGTTCATCAGACGGTGCCATCATGCCAGGGATAAGAAAGCTCAAACTGGAACAAACTATTTTATTGCCACTAATCTCATAATTCTTTTCTTTTATTTTCAAGGCTTTTTAAAATATAAATATTACTTCAAAATTATAAGATTAATGCATATGTGTATGTATGTACATAAAGTTTTGTAGGGTAAAAGAGACAACTGGAGCAGGTAAGCCAGCAAATCATTTAGCATCCTGACTCTGAACCCAGAGTCAGGAAAAGAAACACACCCTAGATATGATACCTGAGCCATGGAAAGAAACATCTTTATTCCTGGGCTCAGGACTAAAAAAAAAAACATGTCCTGCTTCTGAAGCCAATGTCAAAGAAAGACTTTGTCCATAGAATTAGAGTCAGTGAAATATATATGTTCTGGTCCTAAGATTAGAGTCAAAAGCTATAATGAACCAGTGAAAGAAACACAGTTTGTTCATGAAATTAGAGCCTTCTCTGCCCCTGACCAACTAAAGTAATCAATCCCTGAGCTTGGAAAACTAATCGATCTCACTTATCCCTGGGAAAACTCTGTGCTTAAGAAGCCCTATAGAACATCTCTGCCTGTTCAGTTAGAGGCTGCTGTTTATCTTTCCCTGACAGAGGCAACCACTCTCATAGACTCCACTTTCCTAAATGAATCTCTTTCACAAAAGAGTCTTGGTTGACAATCATCATTTGGCATAGAATAGAAGAACCTGGCTGGAACATCTCTTAGGGGAATGAGCTGAAAACCATGCTGAGATGGTCCCCTAGGGGGCCTGATCAGATGGATCAGAACAGAAGAACAGAAGGACCTAGTCAAGATGCTCCCTAAGGGGTTCTGAGCAAGGCTCAGCAGAAAGTGTAATGACTTTTCAAAGTGCCAGAGAAGATTGCTACATTTCTGCAGGGCCTTCCCCTTTAGTAGAGTGTTAGCAAAAGAAGTCACATCTTGGCCAGAGAAGAAGCAGAGAGCTCTGCTAGGAGTTTCCCTCAAGGGAAGAGAGTAGATCTCAGCTCTTGCAGCTCTCCAGGAGAAAAACAGGATTGCTGTGTCCTGCGAGGAGACCATCTCCCACAATACACCAGCTTAAGGTACCTTGGTTTTCTGATAGCTCAGGACACCTTTTCTCCAGGGCTGAGCTGTCCTATGGCAGCTCCAGCCTCCAGAGCTGTCCTATGGCAGCTCTAGGTAGCCTGGCTTCCTGATAATAAGGATAACTTTCCTGCAGGGCTGAGCTGTCCTATTGCAGCTCCAGCCTCCAGAGCTTTCATATTGTGGCTTTAAGTATAGCCTGGCTTCCCAATAAGTCATGATATCTGCAACTCCTCAGCTGTAACACATTCCCCTACAAGTTTATGCCCCAAATTGTCTCGCCATCATTCAGTTTCAATATAAACATACAGAGGCTTATCTTAATTATAAACTGTTTGGTCTATTGCCCAGGCTTATTGCTAACTAGCACTTACAACTTAAATAACCCATAATTCTTATCTGTGTTTAGCCACATGTCTTGGTACCTTACTCAGTAAGGCATTCTCATCTTGTTTCATCTGCATCTGGCTGGTGATTACATCTCTGCCTTCCCAGATTTCCCCTAATCTGCTTACCCTACCTATACATCCTACATGGCTACTGGACAATCAGTGTTTTATTAAACTAATACGAGTCACAAATCTTTACTGTGTATAAGGGCATTTTTCCACAGCGCATATATATATATATATATATATATATATATATATGCTATTAATTGTCATATCGCCTATGAAAAGTTTACAGAAAAAGGCTTCCCCTACCTTTCTTTACATGGTTTCTGACTTGAATCTCTATGATGATGTAACTGGGAAATAAGTTTTTATACTCTGGATGTACATAACAGATTATGTTCCTTTAACCTCTTCAAAATATGTTGTATATGACATTTAAAATGTTTAAGTTTTATGCAGTGACCCATGACCATGTCTAACACTGACCTTTGAAGTCTAAAAATGTGGATGAGGCCCCACAATGACGATTCCACCTTGACTAAAGTAGTGTCACTAAGGTGACAAACACCACCCAAAGATCAGCTTTGGACTACCAAAGTCCAAACTACAAACACCAAAGAAGTGATATTGGACAGAAACAATATGAGTGCTGTGCATGTGGGAAACTCTCACCCACAAGTCCAGCCTTCTTAAACACCAAAGAATCCACACGAAATGAGACCTTAAGTCAATGGCTCCCCCTTTTGGTACTAGAAAATTCACTTTGAAGAAAGGCTTTGGAGTTCAGGAAGTACCCTGGTGTGTACTCATGTGTTATCACAAGAGGGCTGCAGGCATGGAATGACCCCATTACAGTCTGCCACAAATACAACCATACCCTGGGTTTGATCAAGGTACTAGCTGGGGACATCTCCCTGGACACCTGCGAGCCCCTCTAGAGTCCAGTCTCTTGCCAACCCTAAGATGGCTCCCTTAATTAGGCTATATATTTCTCTGCTCCCATGTCCACCCTTCCTTTATCCCAACCATCCCATTCCCCCAAGCTCCCCCCATTCTCCCCTTCTCACGTTTCTCACCCCAATTCCCCTTAGCCCCATGCCACCTCATCCCCAAGTTCCCTGGTTTTGCCCTGTAATCTTGTCTACTTCCCATATCGAGGCAGATGACTATATGATTTTCTTTGGGTTCACCGTCTTATTTAGCTTCTCTAGGATCACGAATTATAGGCTCAATGTCCTTTATTTATGGCTAGAAACCAATTATGAGTGAGGACAAAGTATGTTCATCTTTTGGGGACTGGGATACATCACTCAGGATAGTGTTTTCTATTTCCGTCCATTTGCACGCAAAATTCGTGAAGTCATTGTTTTTTACCGCTGAGTAGTACTCTAATATGTATATATTCCACACTTTCTTTATCCATTCTTCCATTGAAGGGCATCTAGGTTGTTTCCAGGTTCTGGCTATTACAAATAATGCTGCTATGAACATAGTTGAACAAGTGCTTTTGTCATATGATAGGGCATCTCTTGGGTATATTCCCAAGAGTAGTATTACTGGATCTTGGGGTAGGTTGATCCCGAATTTCCTGAAGAATCGCCACACTGATTTCCAAAGTGGTTGCACAAGTTTGCATTCCCACCAGCAATGGATGAGTGTGCCCCTTACTCCACAACCTCTCCAGCAAAGGCTATCATTGGTGTTTTTTATTTTAGCCATTCTGACAGGTGTAAGATGGTATCTCAAAGTTGTTTTAATTTGCATTTCCCTGATCACCAAGGAGGATGAGCATGACTCTAAGTGTCTTTTGTCCATTTGTACTTCTTCTGTTGAGAATTCTCTGTTCAGTTCAGTGCCCCATTTTTTAATTGGGTTAATTAGCATTTTAAAGTCTAGTTTCTTGAGATCTTAATATATTTTGGAGATCAGACCTTTGTCAGTTGCAGGGTTGGTGCAGATCTTCTTCCAGTCAGTGGGTTGCCTTTTTGTCTTGGTGACAGTGTCCTTTGCTTTAAAGAGGCTTCTCAGTTTCAGTAGGTCCCATTTATTCAATGTTGTCTTTAATGTCTGTGCTGCTGGGGATATGCGTAGGAAGTGGTCTCCTGTGCTCATATGTTGTAGAGTACTTCCCACTTTCTTTTCTATTCAGGTTCAGTGTGTTCAGCCTGATATTGAGGTCTTTAATCCATTTGGACTTGAGTTTTGTGCACGGCGATAGATATGGATCTATTTTCATTCTTCTACAGGTTGACAACCAGTTCTGCCAGCACCATTTGTTGAAGATGCTATCTTTCTTCCATTGAATACTTTTAGCTCCTTTATCAAAAATCAGGTGTTCATAGGTTTGTGGGATAAAAATCTGGGTCTTCTACTCTATTCCATTGATCGACTTCTCTGTTTTTATGCCAATACCAAGCTGTTTTCAATACTGAAGCACTGTAATAGAGTTTGAAGTCAGGGATGGTAATGCCTCCAGAAGTTCCTTTATTGTATAAGATTGTTTTGGCTATTCTGGGTTTTTTGTTTTTCCATATAAAATTGATTAATGTCCTCTCAAGATCTGTGAAGAATTTCAATGGGATTTTAATAGATTTGAATCTATAAATTGCCCTTGGTAGAATTGCCATTTTTACTATGTTGATCCTCCCAATCCAAGAACAAGGGAGATCCTTCCATTTTCTGGTATCCTCCTCAATTTCTTTCTTCAAGGACTTAAAGTTCTTGTCAAATAGATCCTTCACATCCTTGGTTAGAGTTACCCCAAGATATTTTATGCTATTTGTGGCTATCGTGAAAGGTGATGCTTCTCTGATTTCCCTCTCTGCTTCCTTATCCTTTGTGTATAGGAAGGCAACAGATTTTTTGGAATTGATCTTGTATCCTGCCACGCTACTAAAGGTGTTTATCAGCTGTAGGAGTTCTTTGCCGGAGTTTTTGGGGTCGCTCATGTACACTATCATATCATCTGCAAATAATGAAAGTTTAACTTCCTACTTTCCAATTCGAATCCCTTTGATCCCCTTATGTTGTCTATTGCTATTGCTAGAACTTCAAGCACTATATTGAAGAGGTATGGAGAGAGTGGACATCCTTGTCATGTTCCTGATTTTAGTGGGATGGCTTTGAGTTTCTCCCCATTTAATTTGATGTTAGCTGCCGGGTTGTCATAAATGGCTTTTATTATGGTTAGGTATGACCCTTGTATCCCTAATCTCTCTAAGTCCTTTATCATAAAGGGATGTTGAATTTTGTCAAATGCTTTTTCAGCATCTAATGAAATGATCATATGGGTTTTTTTTCTTTCAGTTTATTTATATGATGGATTACATTGATAGATTTTCATATGTTGAACCAGCCCTGCATCCCTGGGTTGAAGCCTACCTGATCATAATGGATAATTTTTCTAATGTGTTCTTGGATTTGGTTTGCCAGTATTTTATTGAGGATTTTCCCATCGATGTTCATGAGTGAGATTGGTCTGTAATTCTCTTTCTTGGTTGAGTCTTTGTGTGGTTTTGGTATCAGGGTAACTGGAGCTTCATAAAAGGAATTTGGCAATGACATTTCTGTTTCTATATTGTGAAATACATTAAGGAGTATAGGTATTATCTCTTCTTGGAAGTTCTGGTAGAATTCTTCATTGAAACCATCTGGACCTGGGCTTTTTTGGTAGGGAGGTT